AATGTCATCTTGCAGACTAGGTAGATTTTAGGGTGCAAACAGTCATTCCACGTTTGCTCACTAGGATCGTTGTGAGCGTCCATCTATGGAGGAATGACTCATCTTCACGCATTGTTGGTTGCATAATTATGTGTTATGAAGCCGAGTAGTCTGAGAAGAAAGTTGGTTGAATAGCAAAATCGTATCTGGATGATTATGTGTATGTATGTGTATAAAATCAATGTGCCCGACGGGTTATTTATATACATAATGTCACAAAAACCCAATGAAATGTCAAAAAAAAAATCATTTTTCAAGATACGTAATACCCGTGCCGTACAGGCATTTTGGCTTGGCTGAATAACAAACACGCACAGTTTCTCATTTATAATAATAGTAGGGATATGCATCAAAATATTAATTTCAAATTCCTTACAGCTTAGAAATAAGGTGAAGGCCGAATACAGAACCCACTTTGCCTTATCCGATTTGCCCGAAATCACTTCGAAATACAAGTTACTTAATAATAAAAAAGCGCAGAATATGCCATGTTAAAAAAAACATGTCTCGCGCTCACGCCAAATATAAATTGTGAGCGCGCTTGACTATGCAAAGTTAAAAGCTATTTACAGTTTTAAAAACGTCTTATCTAAAAGGACCAAAATAAATCTCACAGATAGTTTAGTTCTAAACAAACATAAATATGCTCATAAGGTTTATTGTTCTTGTATAACTCAACAAGGGGGTATCCGATTGCAAAAGGTTCAAAACAGCTGTGTACCTTATATATCTGGAATACCCTGGAAAGAAAGAATCTCCCAGCACCTCAAAGAAATAAAATGGTTGAATATGTAACAAAGATGGGTACAGCACCTCCTTTCATACATCCAAACCATTCATATTAATGAGTCACCGATCTACCTATATACACTAAGTGACATATAAATCCGAACACCCAGTTTAAATGGTTTTATTTTAATAAAATTTTGTATAAGTACTTAATGAAGCATAATAAGTAAATGATAAAAATTTCAAAGCGATTGCACTGCTTTAAAGCCCTTTGACCTTTAATAATGTGTGGATGCACCCTGATGTGCTACGCATTCTCCAACGCGCCTAGGTATGCTTCTGATCCGGTGGTCAATGTCCTCCTGTGGTATCTCATTCCAGGCAACCACCAACTCCTCTCGAAGTGCTTCTAGAGTCTGAGGAGGACGTTGCAAATTGAGCAATCTCCTACCCATCATATCCCACACGTGCTCAATTGGGGATAAGTCGGGAGATCTTGATGGCCATGGTAACAATGTGACATCATTATGTTGAAAGAAGTCTATTGTGACTCTTGCAACATGTGGTCGGGCATTATCTTGTTGGAAAGTTGGATCTGCCAGGGTGTCAAGATAGGGTAAAAGATGGGGTTCTAGAACTTCGTGGATATAACGCTGCGCGTTCATGTTACCTCTGATGAAGATTAAAGGTGACCTGGAACCATAAGCTATAGCACCCCAAACTATAACTCCAACAGTGTGATGAACATGTCTTTCAACAAAAAACTGTGGATTCCTCCTTTCACCACGTGGCCTTCTAACCCTTACACCGACGTAATCGCCTTGAGTGGTGCAGACAACGGTCACTCTGGGATCAGGAATGGGTATTGTCTTTAGTGACGAGTCTCGATTTTGTTTAGGAATACACGATGGTCGTGTCAGGGTTAGAAGGCGACGTGGTGAAAGGAGGAATCCACAGTTTTTTGTTGAAAGACATGTTCATCACACTGTTGGAATTATGGTTTGGGGTGCTATAGCTTATGGTTCCAGGTCACCTTTAATCTTCATCAGAGGTAACATGAACGCGCAGCGTTATATCCACGCAGTTCTAGAACCCCATCTTTTACCCTATCTTGACACCCTGGCAGATCCAACTTTCCAACAAAATAATGCCCGACCACATGTTGCAAGAGTCACAATAGACTTCTTTCAACATAATGATGTCACATTGTTACCATGGCCATCCTGATCTCCCGACTTATCCCCAATTGAGCACGTGTGGGATATGATGGGTAGGAGATTGCTCAATTTGCAACGTCCTCCTCAGACTCTAGAAGCACTTCGAGAGGAGTTGGTGGTTGCTTGGAATGAGATACCACAGGAGGACATTGACCACCTGATCAGAAGCATGCCTAGGCGCGTTGGAGAATGCGTAGCACATCAGAGTGCATCCACACATTATTAAAGGTCAAAGTGCAATCATTTTGAATTTTTTATCATTTACTTATTATGCTTCATTAAGTACTTATACAAAATTTAATTAAAATAAAACCATTTAAACTGGGTGTTCGGATTTATATGTCACTTAGTATAGTAAGCCATATTTTAGAAGCCAATGCTACACATTGAACGTGATATGATATATTTTGGATGTGCCGCCGCACAGAACTAACTTTCTAAAAAAATGTTCTCCTGGATAGCATCTTCACCATACAACACTCTGCCAGTTAGTCTGAAGATTTCATCATTAAGGACTTCATTTACAGTCATTGATAGAATATCTATATATAGAGTATTGTAATCTTTTTTGATGCAGCTGATTTGAAACAATTTAATTAGATGTTCCTGCATGCCTCGACTACTTGATCATTTCATGGTTTTCTGACTTAGTCTTATAGTATTTTAGATGTTTAGGTATTTTATTGTATTTTTATAACAAACATTTTTACTTTGTACTTGTGCCTATAACAACGTGTATTTCAGTAACTTTGTCCAGGTTGAGATCGTAAACAAAAGTAAATAACATCATTATTATTATTATTATTTCATTCGTTCATCTTTCACCGTTACAGACAACGGGGTATGTTCACAATAGAGGGGGAATTGATTTGTAATTGCTTCCAAATGTTCTTTATTTTTATTGCAAGGTTGTTCTTTGTAAGTGGAACTGCTATGTCAATTAGGTATGCCAGCTTAGTTACTAACTAAAAACAAAAGTTTACTTAAAAAAAGTAGGAAACAATAGCCCAGAAAATGCTTTAGGATTGTTAGGATGTCTGAAGAATATCTGGAACGTTGGAACTTTTGATACATTAAAGTATTCGTTTTTTATATTGTTTTTCGGGGTCGAAATTGGCACATTTTGCGCGTTTCCAAACATAAATATCATCAGAAGCAATTTTTGTTTGTTCAAAACACTTTCCTAATGCAATTTTGGCCGTGAAAACATGCAGATTCGTTAAAGAAGAGTCCCTTATGCAAAAAAAAAACTAATCAGAATATTTTTCCGAGCACATGCGAAGATACTTCCTGGACTATCAGTCAAAGCTATGTAGTTTTCATGGCTATCAAACTACATACAGGCATCGGCATTGTCGGCATTTTGAAACAAAAGCCTTTATTTACCGGGCTACCTAGATTTGTATGTAAATTGAGCTGTGTTCCGCACCGGCAGGCATAGACAGGAAAATCCTCTATACTTTATCGTTTCCTATGAAAATCCATAAATCAAGCGATAGTGATATCATTAAGCGTTTCACTTTTTCCCTGTATGCTGTAGGCGAGACCTTAGCAGCGTTATATGATTACCGTTTTGTGAAAACGACGAAGTTTTTAGGATTATGTTATCTAATGTTTCATGGATGGAGTACTTCAGATTAAAATTTTTGTATAATAGGCGTATTAAGTAACGCAACGGTATGAACAGTAAAAGCGAAGGTTGGAGCGTTATTTTACAAGAAAAAAGTTGCACTTTAACATATGTCATCTGTTTTATTGAAATCAATTTGAGTAAGCATGTCAAATGCGTGACAGTTGTCACACAATAATTGATAGAAGGTGGATTAAAATATTATATCACAGTGTCATACACAACGCCGCGTATGCAGCCGCTTGCATATTATGTATGAGTGAGAGAGATGAGTATATGAAAGTCACTCCAGTTTTACTGTCACTCGCCAAAAACTGTGAAAAGACCTATACTGCGGTGCTTAGGTAAAAGGTAGTAAAGTTTAGTTTAGCTTAGCATTCTGCCTCTTACAACACTGCTGTTCTGTCCCCCTGGGTAACTCAGACCACGGTGTTGTGGAGGTTAGGTTTCGGTTAGAACCCGCTGTGGCAGGAGAAACTCGTACAGGCCGCAAAACTTGGCATTACGGACATGCCGACTGGGAGGGGCTCACTCGAACGTCACAGCTTGATTAGAGACAGGCAGTACGGTTTCCGGCACCAACGATCCACAGGAGACCTCCTAGCTTAAGTCACGCAATTGTGGAGTAAACTCATCCAGTCTTATGGTGGGACTCTTAAGCAAACTTCCATCCTACGGCCTCCCAGAAGAGCTTTGCAGATGGGTGGCTGACTTTATCTCTGGCCGCAAGATATCCGTCGTAACTGACGGGTTCTTCTCTTCATCCCACAACGTCAACGCGGGTGTTCCCCAGGATCGGTCTTCTGAGTGACAAGCCGATCTCTGCCGCTGAGCTGGAAAATAGAAGACTAGCGATGACTTCCTCTCTGACAAGAGACCTGGAGACTATCACTGCTTAGGGACGCAACAATCTTGTACAGTTCAATGCTTCCAAAACACAGTACTGTACTTTGACGAACAAAAAGCTTCCTAGCGCTCATCCAGTTTCGATGGACGGCCAAACTTCTGCCAAAGAGCCATTCACTTCGGCCGGTCGGAGTCCAGGCATCGAGGACCTGATCTGGCACGAACACATCTCGTCAATAGCTGCAGCTGCTGGGAAAAAGCTAGGCTATTTGTTTAGGGCTAAGAAGTACTTTTCTCCGCATGACCTTCTCACTCTATACCAGTCCCAGATAAGGTCTAGCCTCGAGTATTGCTCACACGTTTGGGGTGCTGCCGCCACAATTACATTATCCATGCTCGATGCTGTCCAAAGGAGGGCGGTCCGGCTGGCCAAAAGTCAATTTTGTCAAATATCGTTTAGGTATAAATAAACAGCCTGTGTTAGTGCTCCGATAGTTGCTGCACATCATAGAAGCCCTTGCCCGCATACTCGCGATTATCGTCGCTTGGAACAACAAGTCTAAACTTGTCCGTCGTTCATAGCGCATTCGTCCCTTATATATATATCAAGTGTGATCGTTAAGATGGACATCGAATACTATTTACTGAGTGATTAATATTACGCAAATAATTATGGATCCTGAAAATAGAGGTAATCTGCATATTTTTTTAATCTTTTATATTATTTTTGTTGAAAGAGATTCATAAATAGCCTAGTGAAAGTATGTATTGTTCTTAAGTTTTATTTATTTATTTTTTGATTATCTAAGAAATTAGTTATACGTCAGGGTCCTTCCCGGTTGTATTTTTCACTGAAAGCTACTGAATAGACCTGTTGTAATACGACAATAAAGAAATCAGCTGCCCTTTTCTGCTCTTTTTCGTTATATTTACATTTTCTTGGAAGTAGTCGTACTTAGCGAATAGTGCAGCATTAAAAGTACTCAGTTTTAATATAATTTTTATTTTGCTTTAGATACTCCAGGTGGCTCAAACTACAGAGTAATATCTAGAAAAAGATTATACGATAAAATGCAGGAACAGAACTTACCGAATTTAGAAGAAAAATTAAATTATTTGGAAAATAAACTTTTAACACATGGTGATTATAGTCAAGAGCAAATAAGAGAGTTGAAGCATAAATTTTCTTATATAAAAAGTGAATTTAAAAGAAGACGGTCAAAAGGTAAGAGGCAAGAAGACAAATTGTTAAAAGAGAATGATTGGCTGCAAGGAACATTCCAGATACCTAAATCTTCCCATGGACGTGTTGGTCGACCATTAAAACCATTTAGTGAGTTATCTGAGAGAAGTAGAAGGAGAAAAACAGAGCAACTACGAAACACCGTAAGTAAAGAGGCTCTCGTTCATGCTGCAAAGGTGAGTTTGCAGAGTTCTGGGAATAGAGACGCATCACAAGTTCTCACTGAATTAGTTAAGTCTCCAAAACGAGGTACTAAGTACAAAAAAGCTTATGCAACACATTTGCAAGTCAACGCAACACAACTTACACCTCTTCGTTCGTTATCAACGTTTGTGGAAGCGGATCTTTCCAGAAAACACTACGAAGTAATACGAGATTCAAATAAAAATATTACCCTTGTTATACCATATTGCAAAAGGAAAAACGTAAGTGCTATCCGCAAAAAGAGTCATATCATGTAAGTGAAACATGCGCCGAAATTGAACTGCAGCACTTGCTAAACCATACAGTAACACGACTTTTGATATATTTGCAAGAGGTCTTAACTAACCTTACACAAAAATAACGTGTCAGATTAGAGCTGATAACTAAATGGAGCTGCGATGGATCGCAGCAATCCCAGTTCAAGCAAAAAATGCAAAACAATGACGACACAGATTCCAATATTTTTCAAAGTTGCCTAGTTCCCCTTCAGTTAGTGTGTGGCAAAAACAAGAAAATTATTTGGCAGAATCCAACCCCATCATCTCCAAGATACTGTCGTCCGATTAGGATCAGTTTTATAAAAGAGACTACTGATACTACAAACAATGAAATCAAATACATTCAAAATCAAATTGATGCATTAGAGAACAGCGTATTTACGAGAGAAGGGATATCTGCGAGTGTAAAACATGCCATGGCATTTACTATGGTAGATGAAAAGGTGTGCAACGCTGCCACACAGACAGCGTCTACCATGAAATGCTATATCTGTGGAGCAACACCAAAGCTTTTTAACGACCTTTCCATTAAGAGAGATGTGGATAGTGGCGCTTTATCATTTGGTTTGTCCATTTTGCATGCGAGAATCAGATTATTCCAAAGTATATTACACCTTTCTTACAAATTACCTGTAAAAAAATGGCAGTTAAGATCCGAAGCTGACAAGACTGTTGTTAAAGAAAGAAAAGGTGAAATACAAAAAGTATTTAGGGAAGAAACAGGCTTAATAGTAGATGTACCTAAAGCTAATTTTGGTAACACCAATGACGGCAACACCAGTCGACGATTTTTTGCCGAGCCACAAAAAGCAAGTGAAATCACTGGAGTTGATTTCAATTTAATTTATAGACTCACAATAATTTTGGAAGTGATTTCAAGTGGCCACAAAGTCGATTTAAAAAAATTTGCTGACTATTGTTTTGAAACTGCAAACATTTATATTTATTTATATTCGTGGCATCCAACAATGCACAAAATTCTTTTGCATGGGGCAACAGTTATGGAGAAAGCGTTATTGCCAATCGGGATGCTATCCGAAGAGGCCGCCGAAATAGTGCACGAAAATTTTCAAGAGTAAAGTGCAATCTTGACATCTTGAATAGACTTTTGCTAAGTTCCGACCCATTAATAACCAGCCTAAGACCGACAATACCAAAATCATCAAAACCTTTTTCGAAACAAGCTATTGAAATGTTGATTCCAGCCGATATAAACACAAATATGGATAATTCAGACTCAGAGGAGCTTACAGACAAAGAACAGAATGAATCAGACGACGAACCGTGCCCCTAATCATGGTCTAGTTAATTATATTGTTTTAATTGAATTTAAATAAAGTGTTCCTCGCAAATAAAAAAATATCTGCACTCAATTGTTTTTTTTTTAAAACTTATCAGACACAAGTTATTTATCTCAAGATAAAATAACATAAGAAACCTTAAAATTTCATAATAGCGGGAAAAATAATTTTCGCCAGCCAGATCGGTGAAATACCCGTATGTGCGGCGGGCCGTCGGCGATCTAGCTCTTTTATATCGCTGCACCAACGGGCTTTGCTCCTCAGAGCTCTCTTCCATGATGCCGCCGCGCGATGTGTCTGCCAGACAGACCCGCCTGACTTTGGCGGCCCATCCTAACCGTGTCGAACTTCGTACATCCAGAATTGGCCGATAAGACCACTCATGGAACAATCTACAAGAGGAAGCTTTTCCCAGTTCTACTAATCTTAGGCAGTTCAAAAATCGTATTAAAAAAAATTATTTGGGATCACCATAGCAGCCGCGGTGTTCCAGCACTTAGGATTCTGCCTGCGCGGCTGCTTCGATATAAAAAAAGGTTAAATTAGGAATTAGGAAAAAGTTGCGTTCTTTGGGCGTATTTACATACCGTAGAGAAACTTGTAAGAATTTCATGATTTACTGAGATATTTCGGGAAAACTAAAATCTGACCAAATCATTATAGTTTTCCTTTTTTATTGAAAAGAATTTTTTATAGGGATTCAACGAAGTATCACATGTTACATTTGAGGAAAAATGCGTTTTTCCCGATTTTTTTATCAATGATATATTTTGTAATTGTAATCATAAAAGAAATGTATTGGCCTCAAAATTCAAAAAAAAGGCAGTATATCAACGTTGTAGAAGCCGTAAAAGCTTGTTTCTGACTAAAAGGCAGTACCTTCCCATTTTTATTTATCCATCAGGGTATACTAAATTCAGCCAGAGTGATGTGCTTTTATGAAGTAGATAGCCCGGACTCTATCAACTTAAATGTATCTTACTGTCAGACTGCTATGACGTAAAAGTAGCCGACACGTTATCTCTGGAATTCTTTTTTGAATATTCAAATCATTCCCCATTCTGCATATCTTAAATACACTTGAATATATTTCTAATCAAGTTACCACTAACGAACCTTGACATTCTATCCAGTTAAGATGTCCCCTAGCCGCTTAGCCTGATAGTGATAGCACAGCATACCGATTAGGATATTTTAAATCTGGACATTCTTGCATTGATGAGAAACACAAAAATATAGGTTCTCGCTTTTTGTTCAAATAATGTTCTTTTTGTATTAGCCATCAACAGTTGTCCAGTTTCGAAACTACTCCGACGAATAGTGATAATGCCTCGATTGGCATTCCATGATTGGATCAACTTTTATTCCTATCGAGATGTAGTGACTAACCGAGACACCATAACAATTTGCTAAAAATTCCAGTACGGTACTTCAAGTTAATGAAGCGCTTTTGAGAAAGTTGCGCAGAGATTTCCATTCAAGAATTATCTGTGGAACTATCCGGTTGATAGCCGGCTGAGCGCGAATAACTGTAATTGGCTATTTCTATTGGAATCGCCTTCATTCATATGTTTCACAAGAAATTCGGTAATTGCGAATCAAATCAGACGTAACAGCTTTTTAAAAATTCTGAAAGATTAACATAACATACACCTTAGGAAAAACCATTGTTATACATGGGAAATCATTTCTTGGCAACAGCGCATCGGCTCGTCTACTTTCATCGCTATTCGTACATATTTCCTACCGTTAACGCGCGTGCCGTCGTCAAGTGCGATAAGGGATTCATGACTCACTCTGCGGTTGGGTTTTGTGTAGGAAAGGTGCGTCATTATTTAATAAAAAATATCTTAAAAATGTACTCGCAAGAAGAAAAGTTTCAAATGATAGAATGGTACATCCAGAATGATTCAGCACGCGCGGTTGTTGAATTATTTGCGGTACGCTTCCCAGATCGGCCAATTCCGTCTCACGCAACGGTTATAAATACCTACGAAAAATTCAAGAGGGTGGGCTGCTTACATAAATGCCATAGCTGCATGCACCCTGAAGGTTGGAAACCAAAAATTAGCGAGAAAAGGGAGGAGATCGAAACTGCTGTTTGTGCCGCTGCAGAAGTATCTGAGCCATGCTCAAGCAGAAAAATTGCTGAAATGGTACCAATAGCCGATCTCACACCCAGAACAACAAGAAATATTTTGCATCGCAACGGTTATCATAGCTTCAAGGTTGGAACGGTTCAAGAAATATTTCCTTTAGACAAATACCGTCGAATGGAGTTTTGTGAAACGGTCATGGAGAAGGCGAACAGGGATGGAAGTTTTATTGGTAACATTTTGTTTACCGATGAATCCACATTCCCTCTCCACGGTCATCACAATCCTTCAGTCGTTCGGTATTGGTCTAGGGAAAATAAACACCTACAGAAACTGAAGGTGTGGGCAGGAATTCTAGGTAATAACATTAGGGAGATATTGCAAACATCTGCCTTATTAGTGCAGACCTTATTTTGACATCTACGCATGCGCACATACAATTCTGTATCTATGAGGAATTAATAGGGATAAGGCACGTCCTTATTTAAGCTATAATAGGGGGAGCTTATTTAGGCGTTCTTATGTCACGACGATTCACGATCTAAGCAAATCGGGTGTCGTCGCAAGCCTATTTAACCTATAAATTTGTACTCTCAAAATTCAACGATTGCTGAAGCGTTTTGGTAACTATGAATATGGATAAAAAGAGAATAAGGTTCACGTATGACGACGAAATGATTTTGCTGCGTGAATTTATTGCACAAAACCCTATCCGTTCTCCTGAGAAGTGGGACTCAATCTTACAGAACTTGCGAGAGCTTACGGGAAAAGAATTTATTTTGAGAACAATAAAAAAGCATCTGAACCATCTTCTGGAGCTGTTCCTCAAAAAGGAGGTTAACAGCAAAGTCAAGTAAGTATAAGATAGCACACTGTACCTACATGTATTTTAATAACAAGAGAATGCTTAATGTAAGACTTGGTGAAACAACATTTGTGTTTGACAGGTCTGGCATAGAAGAAGTCTATAATGAAAGAGAACATATGCTCCAAGAAGCCAGCGAGTTAATGAAAGAGACCTGCTCAACTACACCAGCAAAAAAGAAAAAAGTGGAAAACAAAGCGAAAGATATGATTGAAAAGACACGCAATGAAAGAGAGGCTATGGCACTGCTGGCCTTTTCTGATGTGGATGACACTTTAATCGACCATGATTACGGTAAAATAACTATTCTAAACATTTTTTATACATATTACTATATTATCACAGTTTTAGGTGTTTGTGTTACAGTCGACGTTGACACAGAAAATAATAATAAGTCTGTACAAGATGTTGGAACTGCAAAACAGATATCTGTACAAGATGTTGGAACTGCAAAACAGATATCTGTACAAGATGTTGGAACTGCAAAACAGATATCTGTACAAGATGTTGGAACTGCAAAACAGATATCTGTACAAGATGTTGGAACTGCAAAACAGATATCAGGTAAAACAATGATTAGAATTACTGCTTGAATCTTCAGTAATAGAAACACTAAAACAGATCCACAGGTTATGGAGTATGACCAGTAAATAAAACCAGTGCTCGATATAAAATGTGTAGGTACTTATGTTATATACTTTGATAAAAGCCAGTGCAATGACTAACCTGTCAGTGAACTTCTTTTGTTTAGCACTGCGGTTTTATTTACAGGCCAGACTAACCAAATAGTGGATCCAGATGACTACAGCGTATATAGCATTGCCATGGCATCCCATTCAGAGGGCTACTACTAGATTAAGTAGTTTCTAGTATGTTATACATTACCTATAAAACAGAAAGCTCAAAACTACCTCTTACATTTCATGTTCAAGATTAAATACATTTGTTTATTGTTGCTGTTACTTACTTTTCGATCATTACAGCCCCCCGTACCAAAAGGATGAACAAAAGTAAAACATTGAGAAAAAATGGCCTTGATTACCTACGAGAAAAAGCGGAAATATCACGAGAAATAAGATCTGCAGAACTCAAGTTAGAAGAACAAAAAATGGATAATGAAAAAGAAAAAATTGCAAATGACAAAGCAAGACTTGCCTTGGAGTCTAAAAGGCTTGAGGCAGAAATTCAAGAAAAAAAACATAGGATAGAGTTAGAACAAAAGAAATCTGAGCAAGATGTCGCTGAAAGAAAAAACTTGAGTGACCTCATCAAAACACAACAAAAGCTTATTGAAGCATTACTGACAAAACTTGATAATAGATAATTTGCCATTAAAAAAATAATATACTGGCCTTATATTGAAATAATAATGTTGATGCTAAGGATGGTGAGCACAAACCAAGTTTGTTGCCGAAAATATATGAAATTGATTCTGCAACTGGTTCCATGTATGAACATAGTAAAACTGTGTAACTTCAGGATCAAACATATTTCATCCACAACTCCTGAAGAAGTTGATTTCATATATTTTCAGCAACATACTAATTTAGTTTTGAAATCTCTTATTGGGTGCTTGCTGCCCTTATGGTTGTAAAATAAATAAACATACATTCCAAACAAGCTTTATTGGTCTTACAAGTCTATAAAAAATTACAAATTATCATCAAGCGTTACAAGTTAGAAACAACCCAAAATTTAGATGTAAAAGATGGCTAGCGCCATCTAAATTTGCGCTAGAGATAGTTTCTTTGCAAGTTTCGTCAATGACGACGCAGGCAAAGCAGAAACCCCTTACGATTTCTGGTCGCTGACTCAGATGAATTGTACAGAGTACAGATACCCCGGTACCAACCAACAGTAGCCGGCCACCAGAGTCGTAACGCAAGGCGTTCACAGGACAAACTAACAATAGCATTTTCTGCAGAACATGCAATAATATAGTCTGATATACTCGTTTGCTTTCCATTGCAAAGAAACTAGTTCTAGCGAAATTTAGATGGCGCGAGCCATCTTTTACATTTACCGTCTTCCCGCTATTTGATAGACCACATTCGCTTGTTTACTTTCCATTTGTCCGCCTTCACGGCTGGACCTGATACAGACCTATACCATACTGATGAGGGCTAAAGAGCCCGAAACAGCGCTGTCTGCGGTTGGTCTTGGCTGCGGCGATGGAAAGCAAACGAGTATTTCAAACCCAAAATGTCCTCTATTTATCAGTGGCCTATGTAGGTCTCAAGTGAAGGTGGATTTGTATTGAAATACATAGCAGTCTGACTACTATACAGGCATGTATGGCAGTTAGTAAGTAGTACAGCCACCTTGTATAAAGCATCAACGTCTTGAAGTAGCATTTTTTGGTTTTTTGAAAAATCTACAAAGGCAAATTCTGATATGACTTTCTGAAAACCCCATTCTACTGCTATCCTTAGAACTTTCATAGCAGAATTGAAACTCTGCTGATGGGCAGGTAAATCTTCCATTCTGCCATGAAATGGGGTAAATAGCACATCACTCAGCCCATATCCTTGATCACCAAATAAAACAAATCGTCTTGTGTCAAAACATGTCTTTTGCACTAATTCTTCAGAGATACCTGACTCCCTAAATATTCTGGCATCATGCCTTCTTCCCGGATATGCGCCTTTCAAACTAACAATAATTCCATCAGGACAAATTATTGATTGGAATTTTATGCAGTGATACCTTTTGTGTCCTGAATAATACTCTTCTTGATTTTCAGAGGGTCGACAAATTTTCCTTGCTGTACCATCGATGAAACCCCAACAATTATTCATAGGTGCTCCTTTATTATGAATAGCCTACAAAAAGCACATTTCAGCATTTTATGAACCAACCATCACTTCAACTATATTACACAATACAATACCTGTGCATAATACTCCAACTTCTCCCTATTAAACCACTGCAATGAATTCAAATTGTTGAGAAGTACAGCATGCTCCTCCATAATCACACTTATCAATTTATTTATGATTTGTGACAAAGACTGAGTTGACAAGTGGAACATAGGGACCATATCACACAATCTGTTTGGATATGCCAGCCGTCTTAGTAGAATGCACAATGCTGTTAAACCTGAAAGAAGATAAATGGAACTTATACTGTGGTTTTCATGTTGATAGAATTCCAGCCTCTGGCAAGTGTTGTTTGAGTCAGAGGATGGAGTTCGATTGAAATGATGAACATATAGCAATAAATATTTAAACAAAATCATACCATCCACTTTATTACGTGTGATAGTGACAATTTCTGAAGGTATTCGTAAAACAGCCATCAGCCTATGAAGGTCAGACCTCTCAAATCGAAAATTTAGTCTTATTACTTCATCTGGCAAGTTTTCCAAGTTGAATTGTGCTGTATGAGTAATGCCTCTATCAATAAATATATTATGGAGGATGATATGTTCTATTTCCTCCTCATCTGCTCCTGCCAATATAACTGCTTCCAATTCAGCTTCCATTTTACAATCTCACTTCTCACACCTTTGGTAGAATTTCAACTACGAACCACCTATATTATGCAAGCAAAAACTGGAAGGAAAAGTGAGGTTAAGATAAACACCATCAAAGCGAACTGTCAAAATACGTTACATGTGCAATATCTCTAATTCCACTGTACTTATTTAGGTTCACCTAAATAATGCATACCCTTATTTAGGTCCATATGCAATATCTCTCTATTATCGGACCGTTCTTTATTGATGGAACTCTTACGGCTGCAAAATATTCGGCGTTACTACAGACGCAGATTGTTCCTGCAATTAGGCAGCTTGGCACTGATCTCGCTAATATTTGGTTCCAACAAGATGGATGCCCGGCGTATAATGCGGCGATCGTACACACTTACCTTGAAAGTGTGTTCGGCGACCGGATTATTGGCGGTAACGGAACAATAAAATGGCCTCCTAGATCACCCGATCTAGCGCCCAATGATTTTTTCTTGTGGGGTTATGTGAAAAGTACTGTTTACACTTTCAATGAGAGAGCAGACAATTTGCATAACCTACAGGTGAAAATCGTTGAAGCGCTCGGGCAAATACAGCCTTCTACCCTCTTGAGAGTTCGTCAGGAGTTTTATAACCGCCTGACATACTGTTCATTGAATGAAGGAGACGTTTTTGAGCCCCAGCTGTGAAGGACCATTTGAAACATTTGTGTTCATTATTGCGTTTTATTTTTGAGAACTTATTTTTCTGTTAGAATATCTTTTTATTTTCGTTACACATTTTTAAGAGTGTACTATTTTTTGTTAGAGTGTTTATCTTCTTATTTTTGTTATGAGACGCAACCTTTATTGCTACAAAACCAATTATCCATTCATAAAAATAAGTAGAGTGATTTAGGTGATTTCGTGAAATCTCGAAATCACCGAAATCGGTTCACAGGACGTCCAATCGAACTGGTGCGTAATGCGCGCATCTACTGTACTTCTTCTGTCGACTCAACGCATACTGAAATTTGCAGCAGACCCCAGACCTGTATCAGGAATGAGAATAATAGGCAGATACGCTGTGTTGCCAATTTGAATAGAGCTTCCCGAATTGTGGGGAATTTAGAGTTAAGTGTTGATTCATTCAAGCTTTTAATCAGCATGGCCTAGACGTTAGAACTTCATAAAGATAACATTGAAGCTGAATGCTGCTGGAGTATAGTGTTTCGAATATTCAAAGCGGAGCGGGACACTGTACTCGTTCAATGGGTCATCAAGCCACAATCTTTTCAACAAAGAAATTATTTTACGAAAATGCGTTATATTTTTACGATTTTGTCGTCACCAAATCTCTGTTTCTCAAAATGTACGTCTATTGTAGAATTTTCAGCAAACTAAGCAAGAAACGTGATCTAGTATTTACTCAACATTACGGATTTCTCGAAATACATTAAAAAATGTGACATAGATACCTAACTGCCCCAAGCAGGTGCTCAGTCACGTTGATTGTCATGTTGTACTGCGCAAGTCAGCAAACAATCTGGCGTAATAAACGTTAGGAACAATCAGGTATTGCCAGATTCCCGAATACCGGGCACCATAGTACCCGTTATAGTTGTCCTTCAAAGTTGTCAAATCGCCCCTATGGCGCAAATTCGCCACGCCAGGCAACTGTGCTATAAACAAACCCTGTTTATCACTACTATTTGATAGTCATATGGTAGTTGTAGCCCTATCTAGCGGTCCATGATTTCTCTCATTACTGTTGTATCTCTATTGGCAACAAGAATATGATTTGAACCATGAAACATTAATACAATTTTAATAGTTTGAACTTTTTTCATTTTTGGAATACTCTTATGTGGAATCCGCAGCTATTTTTCCCGAAATTTGGGTAGACGTAGATTTCTTAGAAATATGACATATTGGTATCGCCAACTCTGCGAATGGGAGAAACAAATCGCATTTGCTGAGCGCATCCGTCTAAGCGGCAGGCGCCAGCGCCCGTTCTGCCATTTCTCTTTTATCACTCTTCTACTTTACCCCGTTGTCCGTCACACTCCGACGCTGCCAGATAGGATCCTACAATCGAGTGTCTTTCACGCACCTACATACTTTTGTATATTTCCATCTCTCTTCCTCATCATAATGTATAATAATGGTTTTTCCGAAGGTGTATAATATAGGATAGAAACATCCCTTGAATGTTTGCCCCAAGTTTTTGACGTCTAAAAAAATACACCTGTTAAAAAAATTTTATTTGTACACAAACAGAGAACAAAACATTTTTGGAATAGATAAGTGAATCACTCTCCTTGAATATTTCCTTAATATTAGGGAAAACGATTGTGTTGTCTTTGAGCCAATATTTCAAGCTTCTTAAGCTATATGATTCAGTCTGAGCTGACTATTCCTTTTTTATTAACTCATTCTCTATTGAACTCAGTTCTCTGTATTTAGATCAAAGCAATAATCAATGCTGCAACAATACCAGTTGCAAAACAATCTTAATGCTTCATAAACTACTCGGATCACAATCATAATGACAAAACAAAACGGCCACTAACTGCTAAGTCACCCGATCGAGTAACACGGTCACTGTGTACAATCTGTTCAATAACAGATGTTTGTCAGTTTGTCTGTCATTACGGGACAGTAATTGATTATGTCTAGTTACTGCCCCTTTAATGCATGCAACAGCCTCGTAAGTACTATGCAACTAATAGAAAGGCGTATCTCCTGGTTTGATTTGGGACACAGCTTACATCGCATCATCTTACCATAGGATATAGTCCAGGCAAAATAGTATCAATGCAGTGTCTGAATAATATTGATGTTCACCTTCACGCCTAACGGGATAAAGAAAAATGTTGTGTGATAAAGTTGTAATGTTTGAACAGGGTCACCTAATGGTGACCTTGAGCATGACCTTCAAGCTCATCGAATGTCCTAAATGGAAAACTCTATTTTTGACCCCGGAAATAAAAAGAGCAAGAAACTTTATGTTCAAGAAGTCCTTGACTTTGAAGATCAAATGAATTTTTAACGGATAACATCTGTTTTTAATTTCTGAGTTCGAGTATATCTTTGCCAATGAATCTGACCATGATCTTCAAGGGCATTTCAAGATCAGATAAATTTTCATGTGAACACCTCACATTTTCTAGACGATAGACAAGATCACATTTTATTGCACGTTGCGCTCTTATGCTGCAGCCTATACATTTTTAATCGATCCGCAGGTAAATAGTAAAATCAGGCCACTGTTTTTGTGGTAAAAGGTAACCTAAGTGGCAGACTTTGCGTCCCCATATTATGACTGGGAACAAATACTTGGCGTGGGTAGACACTAATGGCATCGGATTGTTTCTTTCATTCTTTCAATGCTGAAGATCGTCCGGTTTGTGTTTGACCGTACTATAAATGCATACCGTTAAAATTATTGCTGTATACGGTATCCGCAAAGATGCATTTCAGGTACACCGATAATGCGTAGTGATACTCCTAACTGTCGATTTGAGACACACCTTCTACCTGCGCGAAAATGATATATTTCCGGTCATAAACATATTGAATTTACAGGTGTATGTTACAGCCGTATACCAAATGCTGTTTGTCGGTCTACAAAGTGTATGTACGTGCAGTTCACCAATAAATGCGGTTTTATATCAACGTAATTCACACGCCCATGACAAGCAGGTTATCACACTGACAGTGAGATGCGTAAATGTGGAAGACTCATACCTTGCCGAGAAAATTTTCAAGGCAATGAGACTAAAAAACGTATGTCTGTGAGCTTACATAAACAAATGTCCACGCATAGATGCCGATGGTATATCTATGTGTGAGGGAAATTGATATATACTAAGTGAGATATAAATCCGAACACCCAGTTTAAATGGTTTTATTTCAATAAAATTTTGTATAAGTACTTAATGAAGCATAATAAGTAAATGATAAAAATTTCAAAATGATTGCACTGCTTTAAAGCTCTTTGACCTTTAATAATGTGTGGATGCACCCTGATGTGCTACGCATTCTCCAACGCGCCTAGGCATGCTTCTGATCAGGTGGTCAATGTCCTCCTGTGGTATCTCATTCCAGGCAACCACCAACTCCTCTCGAAGTGCTTCTAGAGCCTGAGGAGGACGTTGCAAATTGAGTAATCTCCTACCCATCATACCAGATAGGGTAAAAGATGGGGTTCTAGAACTTCGTGGATATAACGCTGCGCGTTCATGTTACCTCTGATGAAGATTAAAGGTGACCTGGAACCATAAGCTATAGCACCCCAATCCATAAATCCAACAGTGTGATGAACATGTCTTTCAACAAAAAAATGTGGATTCCTCCTTTCACCACGTCGCCTTCTAACCCTGGCACGACCATCGTGCATGCCTAAACAAAATCGAGACTCGTCACTAAAGACAATACTGTTCCATTCCTGATCCCAGAGTGACCGTTGTCTGCACCACTCAAGGCGATTACGTCGGTGTTCTCGAGTTAAAGGGAGGACCCAGTGTGGCCGGTATGAAAACAAGCCAAACTTCTCATTCGTCGGTAAACACTTCCCCTGCCAATAGGTCTTCCGTGTTCTGCAAACCATTCATTTGCAATGGACCTGGTAGTGGAGAAACGGTCCCTTAAGGCCAATAATCTTAGGCGGCGATCTTCACGGTCTGTTGTTCTACGGCGGCATCCAGTGCCCCTTGCTCTTTGCGTACGGCCTTCTCGAAGCCATGCCTGACAACACCTAACCACAGTGTCTACACTTCTTTGCACTCTAACTGCAATTGCCCGAAAAGAAAGTTCAGCTTCCCGAAGTCCCACTATACGGCCCCTATCAAACTCACTAAGTTGACGAAATCGTACAGGTGTCCGTACTCTAGGCTTCGTAACCGATCGTAAAGGATGTCAAGAACCAAAATCCGCCAACGTTGATTCTTTACTGCGGCTGAAATATTCATTTTTAGAGCGTTAGTGAATTAAAAAAAGCAGTATAAAAACCGGAATGTCCAACTGATAAGGCTGAAAATGTTTTCACTTGTTATTCACAGTAAGATAAATACATTCACCAACTTTTATTAAAATAAAACCATTTAAACTGGGTGTTCGGATTTATATGTCACTTGGTATATAAAAATAATTCCCATAGCTTCATCGTGACCCGTCAAACCTGTAAAAGGATACGCAAAGTCGAGCACTATAAGCTAAAATGATTAACGTTACAGAAAATTTACTCAAAACTTTTTATGCAGCCGTTCAGAAAGGTATGTATTATTGATCGTGACCGAGTACGTGAAATTAACCTTTTCCAAGGACAGAGCGCAAATGACACATTTATCGCTCTAGTGACAAAGTAACAAAAATGTTCACTAGTGGTTGTGGTCGCACCAACAATGAAACGATGTTGTCAAAATGCGAGATGTCATAGAATGATAAAAGGTCTCAATGGCATCGCATTCTACAATACTCCGTTATAGCCAAGTGTAAATAGTAGGTTGGGAATCTGCCACGCCCTACTGTGGGGCACACGCAGCCTGTGTTTTATTATATAGCTTGTTCGTCCACAATTTTCATTATTATTCCTAGATATTTGCAAGTAACCCTTAATATTTAGATATTTTCATATATGTCTTTCATTGAGACATTATTGGATAAACAAGTTCTTAGTTTTTGTGGCGCAAACTCAGTGGCGTATCCCCGGGGGTGGCTGAGGGAGAGTTCCTTCCAACAGATCACGCGCAGGAAATTCAATTCGTGTCTCAGTAGCACTAAGGAAAAGACGTTAGCCCTCAGGAGCACTAATGACTAACGAGGCCGTCGTCAACCCCCCCCCCCCACCGTACCACCCCCTGTCCCAGTTGTGCTTCGGGTCTCAGAGTTGACCCCCCTTGAAAAGTTCACCCTAGATCCTCCCATGCTAACCAGAACCCCTTTGCCCGGTTTTGTCGCTGAAGACTTAAAAATTATGTATTAGTTTTAAATACATCCTGTATCCTCGTCTAAAAAAAAATCTGAATGAAGACTGACACTTTTTAGTGGTGGTATGGCTTTGGCGCATATTTTTCCATTTTTATCAAAATAATTTATAACTAAAATTTATGAATTTGTTACTTAACATTAGTATGCAAACATTGCACGCTTTAAAAAACTTTATTTCATATTTTTCAATCAACAACAAAACGGGGGTTTCGTTTCGAACAATATCGAACTATGTAATCTAGAAAATGTAGGCTAATGCTCGCAGTTGGCGTTTATCCATCAGGTTTTGCCTTAGTAATTAGTAGATGTGTTTTTCTCAGCCAGAAGTTGTAGCAACTTGAGTAAAATTCCAATTCTTGTCTCAGCATTCTTATTCTTGGAAACAGAAAATGAAATATGATAAAGATCACAAATAGCGATTTGAAAATATCTATTTTTGATCACCAAGAATATGTATTATAACCAAATAAAGATGGAACAACAACAACAATAAACCCAAATAACAAACCTCAAGTTAAAAACATCAACTATCTAATCCATTTCAGTCACCACACTCACTATCACGTAGTCAGGAGATATCTAAAAGTTCAAACACCCAAAACAGTTATTTTCTGTCTTCTTACCGCATCACCAAAGCACAACAGTTTGCGACCCCAAGAATTCCTCTTACGATAGCCAGTGTTCCCACCAGATCCAAGTCCACGTGACTTTAAGATACGCACTCACGTTCACAAAATCCGCGACTTTTCCTGTCTTTGATTTGGATATTGTACTGTACTGTCCAAACTAAGTCCACGCGAGTCAAAGCGTCACAAGCACATACGTACCCAGGCGACTGAGTGAGCAGTGACGTACCTCAAAGCCCTCTCATCAACCCGCCTTGGTTACCTCACTCACGCGATCTGTATCCACGCCAATTTAAGAACAGTCACTGATCAAATCCAAATTCCAACCCGGCAACCCTACGCTTTCCTTCACCTGTCGCCACCTCACTCGCCCGATCTAAGTCCGCGCGACTCTAAGAATAGGAAGTGAGCGTGCCGGCGCTGGCTCGCGATGGATGTCTTCCTCTTCTGCAGCAGCTTGACTGACCACCTTGCCGCGAGACCGCGAGAGACGGCGGAACCGTGCAGCAGTGACACATTTCCCAAAGACCCACATTTGGAAAGGCAGGCGAGACGCCGACAGGCGACAGATGAACTGAGGAGAAGGAAGATCTTGAATTCGTAAACAGTCGATGTTTCACTGAAGAACACTTAATAAATCACTGATCTGCATCAAATTGAGATACAAATACATAATCTGCCTTCGTTTACCACTTTTATCAGTCCACAGTCGATTTTACTTCCCATGACATGTAATCCCGAAAAATTTTGGAAACGAGATTTTATATTTTTTTGGTGTTACATAGCATGAATAACACGAAAAACTATGTCTGCCTGAGCGTTTATCCTAGGCGCCACTATAACCTGGAAAATACCGTTCGAATTTTGACGAAATTTTGAAACCAGATTACTACTATACCTATCACAAAAGAACTTCGTGGCTTTTGAAAATCGTTATAGTGGCGACGGTGATTAGACCAAAAACGAAAAAAGTCGCTCAAACTCCGTTTTTGACGTTTCAAAGTTTTTTGGAAATTATTTTGAAGGATAAAAAATAGAGGGGTAGCGTCATTATTAGAAAATTTCTATCACCTATTACTATGAGGATGGTTTCTAATATGTTTCCTATTTATTCGTTATAGCTGCTGGCACCATCTGTGGAGCAATCGTATAATGCTTTTTTCGTCACCGCTGGTGCCATCTGTGTACTGTCATTTATACCACACATGAATAGTTGCATTTTTGAGCCATAGTTCACTTAAAATGTGAATCGATAAGCACCTGCTCTTATGTGGGTCTGGCCAGTTCTTTTTGTTTTGTATTCCGACCAAGATATACTAATTACGATAGCATTTTTAGTTTGTAGAGGTTTTTTTAGAGATCATGTCACTGCTCGTGTTTTACTTTCCATGCCTACAGGCAAGGAATAATATTTCAATAATATTATAATGTAATATTGATACTCTCCTAACTTCGGCAATTCTGCCGGTCCTGGTAGGTGCTCTGGTGAGATACGGTAGCAGATGGACTACCTGTAGGGCAGGGAAAGAATGTCTAGGGACTAATTGTATGGACCTGTTTGACTGACTTGATCCATTTAATTTCTCTGTTGTACATGTTCGTGACAAACTTTTTCTCAGAGGGTATAACTTGTCGTATAATCCTTTATGAACTGAACCTACCTGACGCCATTTTATTTACTGTAAATAGTGACATGTCCGGCAAAACCTCAAAAAGCTTTTATTTCACCTGCTAAACCGTAAGAAGCACCCAGCTGATCGACATCTAAATCAGAAGCATCTGAGCAGTAAACTTAAAGTTTGAAATGCGCGAGGAAAATCATCAACGAATTAATTTATGGAAATGGAAACAATTATGCGCAATAATATAACATACCAAATATTCAACATTTTAATAGTAAATAAAACAGGAAAACACAAAGATTATAAAATAATAAGAACTGGAAGCGTGAAAAATACGACTCTGTTGACAACATATGTATAATATGTAACCTCAAATTGACTGGTCACGTGCCACATTATCCTTTCTTTCAATAAAATGGCGGGCAAGTGGGAACCTGCAGACTACGCATACTCAGCATACCCGACATATTTTGTGATGTTTTAAAAATATACTTTGAAATATAGGTTGAAAATGTGGATACAAAAAGCATGTGAACTCATTATGTAGTGCATCATACAGCATTTTGAAGCAATTTTATCCGCATAGGCAAATAATGTCTACTCCATAAAAATGAGAAACATTAATTTATGTCAAAAATCACTTATTGTGTGACACTATACAGGGTGTTCCTTAGTTATATGCGAATATTTAAGGGTGTAAATCTACATGAAAAATTAATGTTAGTTTGCTTTATAAACTATGGTCCAAAAATGTTGCCTTACAAAAACTCTGGGTGTTGAAGTTTTAGGAAAAGAATGGAAACTAATTAATATTTTCAGAACCGCTTCAAATATTTCACTGATATCTAGTACGTAATGAAAGTTAATAAAACCGCATATTTTTCAATGCAAAAATAATTTTTTGCTTTAACAGTGGTTTGCGTACGAGTATGGACTTCCATATTTTTCAAGGAAAAAATGGTACGCCAATGGTTTTTTGCCAAATAAAAATTACTTTTGAATTCCCCGTTCAATTTAAAACAAATGATCAATCGAACTGTTTTCTTTCGATACGCCATTTTTGAGTAAAAAAATAAATACCGCTCTATTGTCGGATAAAATTAATGTAATAATTGAAGAATGCAATTTAGCAATAAATATCTAGTTGCTCTGGAATATGTCACTGGCTTTTGATATCTGACAAGTCTCTGTTATTCAAATCTGTTCGCTGTGACATCTTTTTCATTATTTAGTTTTTACAATCTTGTTAATAATGGTGAATTATTCAAATGCAGAAATGGTATATGGTCTTGTCGATGGTAATGGTGAGCAAGCCAGACGGATTTATCACCAGAGATATCCCGATCGTGCTTTGCCAGATAGTCATACCTTTTCTAATATTCAACGTCGTCTTGTTGAAACTGGTTCTGTCCGAAAAGGAACATCTGAAAGTCAAAGAACATCCTGAAGCGAGTATGAGGAAGATCGCTGGACACTTAAATATTTGCCATCAAATTCTTTGGAGAATTTTAGTGGATTTTTTGTTATATCCTTACCATATTTTAAGAGTACATGCATTACTTCCCATTGATTTTCCAAGGTAAAAATCCGCAATTTGAATCAATGATTCTGTTCACGGACGAAGCTAATTTTTCTTGAAATGGCATTCAGAATTTCCACAATAATCATCTGTGGGCAGAAGAAAATCCCTATGCCGTAACCGAAACCCATTTCCAACACCAATTTTCGGTTAACGTATGGACAGGAATCATTGGCAACCACTTTATTGGCCCATTCTTCTTGCCGGGACGACTTGACGGACCTATTTACCTCAATTTTATTCAACAACAGTTGCCTTTGCTACTTGATGATGTTTGGCATATCATTAAGAAACATATTCGCATATCATTAAGGAACACTCTGTATATGGTCCCGCTCTGTCACTTAGTGAACAAAGCAAATTTGACACCCTATTCAGAATTCGTACGCCAATTTTCTTGGGGTATACGAAAGTTTGATCATATTACTTGCTTGGTATTCTGCAGATCAAAGGCACGCAAAACTCCACTTATGGACAATCGCACATAAGGTACTAATCACCAGACAACTACGATATTTACATAAGGAGTTAGCAAGATATAGCGACATAAATCAACTAAATACAAAGAATAGAAATATTTTAGTGCTACCCTTACAATCTGAAGACGTTCCAAAATTACACAATACTTAATTCCATGAACACAAAATGCTGGCAATATGGCCTATTCCTGTAATCGTTTACTTTTTCTGTGTTGTTATTATTAAGTAATATGCATATTAGTTCAGTATTATTATATTTTTTTTTCAAAGGTTAAGTTGAAAGACGCTACTCTTAGCGACACTTCGCTTTTTTGTACTTTTGCACAAAATAAAGTCAATTTATCATTATTATTATAGTACTTGGTAATTTATTGGGAGACATCTATTACCACTGGCTGAAAATCTATTAGCCATTAGGAAATAAATATATTACGGCACAAACAACGCTCGAAACAACACTGTCTATTGAACGTTTGAATCTGGTGTTTCAACTAGTATTTCCCATTTCACCTCATAATTCTTTATGCTAATGAATATCTGGTAATTTGTATTTGCCTTATAGTTATGAGACATCGCTTGGTACGGAATTAACACCGATAAATTGTCTCTAGCCTTACACAGACAACTATCAAATTACCGTGGATATCGTCAGTTCGTTACTGCATCACAAGTGGAATCTCTCGAAGTGGCGACTAATTATTTCGAATGCGTTCGTGCAAAGTTGCATTTACTTGGCGTTAACATTAATCTGGGAGTTCACATTAGTGCAGATTAGACAACAGCATGCAATCTCAGTCAAATAAACAAGAATGATATAAATGCTTCAGGTCGTTTTCTTGTTTGCGTCTACGTTTAACGTCCTCTTAACGGTGTAATATTAATATTCAGTGCGCATTTCAGAAATGGCAATGATGTGATAGCTTTCTTAAGACTTAAGATTTTCTAAAATAAAATATGTTCTTTGAATGTTATATGACATATGCAAAATTTCACACACGGTTACTACTATGCCAAGGACTAAAAAGATTTGTATGCTTCGAGCCCTGCCAAATATACGCACCTATAAGTACATATGTCATACATTTGCTCTTGAAACATGGGGAAAAAACAAACGGATATATAAGGCATTAGATACATTTAAAAACGGTAGATGTACACTGTATACACTTCGAAGTTGAGTCATTTATTTTAACAGTGAGTAGATCTGATCAAAAGAAATGTTTTTTTCCTTTACCATTTTTCTGGTAAAATTAAAGTAACAAAGTTATAGTCCTTTGGAAGTTTGAGTACCGCCCTGTCTCAATAATAATATTATGTGCTCGTGTTTGGCGACAACGGATATAATCCGCCTTATCGGTTCATCGCATGGGAAACAAAAAAGCGAAAGAATTTGGAACGATGTTTTTACAATTATTTTATTCATTTGTATACAGTCAGTGTCAGTCGGTATCGCGTGAGTGAATAGTCGTGTCTGTTGCGTGGCTCAAACGAAACAAAAAATGGCACATGTTTATGCGGATCGGTTTCCCAATCGAGTGCAACCAACCCTTTGTTAATGTAGTACAACGGGCTCGTGAATCAGGTGATGGCCTGCCGGTGCTCCAAGACCTCACGATCAAATACAGGTCCGCACTGAAATACTTGTCGGGAGGATACTTTATAAAACAAGGCAATTTTTTTTTTTATTTTTACACACATATTTTGGTTTATCTTCCTTCTACAATCATTATCTGAAAATTAATGACTCAACTTCAAAGTCACCCTGTATATGAGCAGGTTACATATACAGTAATGGACAAAAGTATA